CAGAGACACACACACACACACACATACACACACAAACAGATACACATGCACACATACAGAGACAGACACACACCCCCGCTCCGGCGGCAAGGCGGAGAGCCCCTGGCGTGTGCCAAACCACTGACTCACACGCTGACTCGCAGGAGCAGGAACGCCGCCGCCACCACAGTGCCCAGAAAAGCCCCCCCCCAAGAGGCAAGAGTGTGTGTCTGTGTGTGTGTTTCACCTTCAAGGCAGAGCTATAAAAAGGTCTCTGTCTTTCACACACACAGAGACACACAAACACACACAAGGTCCCCTGCCTCCCTGCCATAGTGCCCAAACAAAGCAGAATAACACTTTCACACCCCCCCCCACCACCCCACATGCTAGCCATGGGGGGGGGGGGGGGGCTTCCCGTCTCTCCTTCCTTCCTCTCACCTCCTCTTGTGAGTCTGCATCGAGGGGTGGGGGATAGGGGTGTCCCAGCGAGAAGGACCGTGTGCCCCAACATGCAGATGTGTGTGTGAGCACTGCTGGTCCGGCCTGCGTGTTTACACCTTCCATGAGCCTGCGGACGCCGATCCAGCTGCCAACTCCCCCTGCGTGGCTGGCTGGGTGGGTGGGGGGGGGGTGCGGGCTGAGACCAGTTCAGACAGGTGGGAAACACAATATCCTGCATTCCCTCTGTTCTGCCTTTCCAGTGAGGGGGGGCTCAGTAACTGTTATAGCACTCAGATTGCCACTTGTAACTCCCATCTGGCTAGTCTTCCACTCTCCACTCTCCCACTCGGGGAAATGCCCAGGCGCTGTTTGGGAAGGCAGGGGCGGAGGGGGGCATGGCTGACCGGAACGGCAACTGACCAGAGACTCTGCACAGACCTCAGGTCGGTGGGTCACTGGAGCCTCACCAGAGCCTCCCTCGCACCTGTCCATCCACTTCGAGTCGGGCATTGACAGGGTACATAAGATGGCATGCAGAGTGACGCCCCTGGCATCAGAGGGCAAGTTTACTAGGCTGATGCTGCCGGAGGTGTCGAAGCCCAGTCTAGCTGCACCCTGTGCATATCTGGCATGTTGAGAACCTTTGGACGGGCCCTGAGGAGAAGATGGCCTTCATTCTGCAGACTGGCGAGCAGATACACAGTCGCGTGCTTCCCCCTGGGTTTCCTGCTTTGCAGACACACTCTAGGGCACTGGGCTGCCAGGTTGCACCACTTACAAACAGAGGACAGTAACGATGCTAATCAGCATACTGCACACGCCCCGGCCGCCAAAGACCTCACTCCACAGCACACAGCACACGCCCCGGCCGCCAAAGACCTCACTCCACAGCACACAGCACACGCCCCGGCCGCCAAAGACCTCACTCCACAGCACACAACACACGTCCTGGTCGCCCAAGGCCTCGCTCCGCAGCACACTGTACACTGCACACGACCCAAGGTCTCGCTCCATAGCACACTGCACACGTCCTGGCTGCCCAAGGCCTCGCTCAGCAGCTCACTGTTCACTGCACACTGCATACGTCCCGGCCGCCCAAGGCCTTGCTCACTCTTATCAGGCATGATGGGGGCCACAATTCGCTCAGCATGTGAGAACCGGATCTGCCTGTGTAAGGCATAGCAACGCTCCCCCTGCCCCATCACTGAGCACTGAACACTTAGGTCCAGCAGTGTTTGAGGGAGGTAGGGAGCACAAGTGGGGGGTTAGGGGTTAGATGCCCTCACTTTCTGTGAGGGGCACATGATATATAAATAAAGAAAGTGTGTAGAGCAAGGGTCCCCCACAGGAGTCACTGTCCTGACACTTAGTTGCGACACCCACCCCCCCCCACTGACCGCATCACAACCTGGGCATTGAGGGCCACACAAAGTGGGCCATACACGGAGGTGGCCCGCGGAAATGCTGCGTCACTACTTTAATTCATAAAACTGTGTGTCACCGGGCCGCACCCCCTGTACGCCACACCACCCACTCTGGATACCGCCCACTCCTGGCCCCACTCCTCCCCTGCGCACCGCCCACTACACGGCCGGCTGCCTGGGTCTGAGTCACCCGCATGCAGTGGAACGCTTTCAGCACCGTGGCCTCGCGATTTGCAGGCGGACCTGGTGATGAGTCCCCCCCACCCACACGCTTTCTTTTGCTACTGGGGGCAACAGCTTCTCCCAGCCCATAAACAAAGCCCCCAAAACCCACAGCGGCCCAGGTGCAGTGTGTGTCACACCCCTGTCACCATGTGTCACTCCCCAGTTACCACGTGCTTTGTGTTATAATCAATGCGTGTCTTATTTAGCTTATTTACCAATTAAACATACTGAAGCACATGATTGATTGTGCTTTTCCATGACCGTTTTTTTTCCAGTCAATCACATAATCCATCTCATAATTTCAGAGGACCCCAAACTCCCTGCTTATCACAGGCAGAAATATACAGCTCAGTCAACGAAGCAAAAAGACAATCCGTCTTAGCAATGCACAGCCAGGTATTCTGGATGTGATGTGCAGGCTGACATCCTGATTTCCAGACAAATACCTTTGAATGACATCCAGCTGGCAGCTCTGGGTTGAGTATGTCTGCCCTGTCCGGCTAGTCACCGCCTGCCCCAGTGTTTGCCCTACGTTCGGCCGGCGTCCGGCGCGTGGGCGTGATGTGGAGCTGTGTGTACCTCTCCCGCTCCGCAAACAGGGCGAAAGGCAGGTATCGACCGCCCCCATCGCCAACACGTCATAGCTGCGGCATCATCAAAAGGAGCCGCGCGGGAGAGGCGCGGCCACAGAGGCGACGCCGGCCACCTTTAACTGCTCTATCAGTTCCAGCCGCGGTCCAAAGGTCTGTCGGCTGCCTTGGGCCGTACGGCGTGTCCAAAGGGCTTCTGGGTAAAAGGGCTCTCAAGTCCGTGTGGTTCTGGGAAACAGCTTTACCAGCCGGGCTCTCAGTACAGCTGTCCAGCCCTCCCCCGGATTAGCCGGTATCAAGACTAAAGCTGGCCTACTTCCTCAAGCCTCTCCTGCCTTTACATCCATTTAGCAGGTTAACATTCCATATGTCCTGCTACTCCAATGCAAGATTCACACAAATCCACGAATGACACACAACTGAATACGAGTGTTTCTCCCCTGGGAATCCCATTTGGCTCCAGCGCACCTTCCCAGTGTGAAGCCCTTCCAGGTGCAGTCAAACACAAGTAGACTCAAGTGCACTTAGAACCAGTAAGGACTTTAGAAATGGACTAAAATGGCAACCTGGCTGTTTAATTTTAAAATCCATACCCAGAAGACACAACAGCAGAGGAATGCAGTTACGGGAGATAAAACACAAGCCCCAAGGGGGGGGGGTCCAAGGCCAACCGGCTGACTAATCCCCCTCCCCTCACTCCCCCAGGTGTGCCAACCTTAAACAAGCAGGAAAGAAGTGTTTGTGTTGTGTCAACAAGGGGAGGGGTTCTGCGGTGGACAGGGTGAGATGTAATCAATTCCCGAGGAGTTTAACAGCCAGGCCTTGATCTGGCGGAGTTTGAAGCTACAGGAAAGGGCCACGGGAATAACGGCTGTCCGTCCAAGATAAGGGGGCCTCATCTACTCACTGCTGATCCCTGACCCCTGGCCGCCTCTACTTTCTGCCACAGCAACCCTGGACACGCAGGGAAATCAGAAAGCAGAGCCGGATAGACAAGGGATAAGATCCCAACAGCCAGACAATGGGAACGCGACTCCCCACTCCCCACGCTGGCTGACAGCGCCTCTATGCAGTAAATAAGGAAGCTGATCTCGGACACCAGCAGACAAGACGAGACAAGTTTCGGAGAACATCTTGTGGAAGGAGGAGAGGCCGGGATTTCGAAAAAGGGCCACACGCCTGCCTGGTACAAGGTCAGGAAGCCTCCCCCCCCCCAGAAGACACTGGGTCGCTGTTACCGTTCGGAAGGCTTCACCAGCTTCCTCTCCCCTCACACATTCCTCAGACCCAGATAAAAAAAATCCACGGCCAGAAGATAATTAGCTAACATCCACACGCCACCCCCACATCCCCCCTGGTCACACTGCTATAGGTTAACCAACAAAAAGCTAAGAAAACAACCTGAACTCTTGCTCTCTTATCTTACCCCTTGTAAGTACACATTTTATTCCCTGTTTTTTTTCATCATTTAATTTTTTAGCGGTTTAATGAATCTGTATCACGCAAGCAAACGAGTGTATAAATCTCCGACCCACACAGGCTGCTGCCATTTATACATTTCAAGTCACCGCTAACAAGTTTTAGTGTTTTCTACCTCTGGGAAAAAAGAAAACATCAGGCAGGCTTCTTGTAAGTAGGCTTGACATATGTATCTCCCATTCCCCTGTCTCTCTCTGTAGTTTTCCTGGGTGGCATTCTTCGCCGCCCTGGTCTCTCCCCCCAGGCCATCAATCAGGGACGACACTTACGAGCTGATAAACACTGAGAACTTCAAGCTGCCTGAGGAATTATTTAAGTGTTTCTGTGGTAAGCCCGAAGTATAAACATTTTCTTTACCTGATAACATACACATTCGAGTAGTCTCCTTAAACACACCAGTAGAAAGCCAGCACTGCAGCTTTAAAGGAAGTCTGCATTAATACTTTGTCTCAACAGATACGCACAGTACACAAAGTAAGACTGAAATCGAAAGAGACTTTTGTTTTTTTGGCTTATAAACTAAAAAAACAAAACCCAGTAAGCCCCAAACATGTAATGACCCAATGCCGTTTCGGTTTAGTTTGAAGAACATTAAGAATGGGCGGATACATTACATTACATAGACAATACATAGACATAAGATGCCACAACATTCAAACGAATATCAGTGTCAACTTAATTGCAATTGTGCACGTGCACAAGAACATGAGGTGTCAATCTGATGCCAATTTGTGCAAATTCAGGTAAGGCCAGTTGTTTAGCACTGCGGCATAACCATGCTCTAAACAGCGCTATATAAAAGCAAGCTCAAATGAATTGAATTGCATAGAGTCGAACTGGAAACCTGCAAACAACTTACCCATTTTCTGGGTCGACCCCTGGGCCTCCTCTCGCCGGTGGCCTCTGCTTTCTGCAAAAGAAATAACTCTGTTAACGTTTATAGAAGGTCTGATGTGTGTCCAGGGCCCTGCCCATGAAGACCGACGGATAGTGAGATACTGATAAACCCCACGCGAGCAGTAAAGCTTGTTGAATGCTAAGGAACCGGCCAAATACATAAGTCCCATAAAGGGTTCTGCTGCTTAACCTTACTGCCTGCTCAACCTGCATCTTGTGAACACATGATATTACAAGCTCTTTGGGTACTTTTCATTAGATGCACTCACATAAATAAAGCATGTTATTATTCAAGATAAGGTTTAAAAAATTGTTTTTGCAGTGGTGGGAAAACAAAACATGTAAGTGGTCCGGAATGTTGTTGAGTATTTTTGTTGATGTTTTAAGTGAGAAATTTGGTTCAGCTTACTAGGAAAGTAACGATTTCTGATACATGTTTATTATAGAAAAAAATTTACATTGCCAGCTATGATACTTCTGTTTCGTGATCATTTGTCAATTCGGATTTTGCTGGTTTAAGGCATTGACAGCAGTTTGCGCTGCACATCCCCATGGCGTTTCAATCCACGGCGTGCTTGTACTGTTTAACATTAGAATTTAGTGATCAGTGTTGACACACCACAGCACACAGTGCACAACAACGAAATGTGTCCTCTGCATTTAACCCATATGTGACGTTGTGACATAGCAGGGGCCGGCTAATCCAGCGCCAGGGGAGCAGTGCTTGGGGGCGGTACCTTGCCCAGGGTACCTCAGTGGTGCCTTGCCAGTCGGGGATTCGAACCTGCAGTCTTTCAATTACAGGTGCGCTTTCCTAAACATTAAGCTAACACTGCCCCCATTCGTGTTAATGAGGCCCCCTGGACTCTCCGTTACCGAACCTGTAAAATTGGGTCCGTCGGACCGGTTGGCTCCGGGGGTTGTTCTGTTCGGCCACGCAGAGGAACCGAAGCCGTACAGTCGAAGGCAATTAACAAGACAAGACGCGTTTTAAACATTAATGGGATGTAAAGTGCTCCTCCGGCTATGGGCTTTGTCGGACTGGGACCTGAATGTAACTCAACCCAAATTGCCAGCCCTCAATAAATTTTGCAAGGTGATTTGTGAAGGGCAGGTATCAAGGGTACCGTACTGGTCAAGCCCGTCTCAAACAGTTCAAACTTACTGGACGGTCCGCTTCGAAGTCAGGTTCGAAGGGCGGCAAGTAGCGTTTAAACGAGCGTCCCAGTTCAAACAAACGCCTGCTAAGCGGCGGACAAACTAAACGTTAAATAATCGACAGCTCCTCTCCTCTCACTGCCGGTTCAACAATCAGACAGCTGATAGGACGTAACCCGGGGGCGGCGACCAATCAGAGGGCGGGACCATCCGATATTACCGATATTAGTTCCGAAAGGACGCAGAGGCGCACGTGTTGCGCACCTCCCGATCATGCCCGTCGCGGGTGCACGAGGCGGAGGCGCCCGTTGAAGCTGCCCCCACCGGAGAGGGTCCTGAATGTAGGCCGAGGGGTTGTTTACCCCCGTTAAGTAGTCTGCCCTCAGTGAGCGCTCACGCATTGTCGGGTTTCGCATTACCGCGCTAACAGGCACAGTTTGTTTTCCATGCCCCAAGGACAATTTACGGAGACCTTGCGAAGTCCCATAGAGCTGAAAGACAGAGTACCGCGGAACCGTGGGATCCGCAGACGGTCGTCCGTCGAAGTGTTCCAGAGTCACCGGCAATTCGCGCACATAAACTCCGCTGCCCTACGACTCTTCTAGAGCTGTCTGTCCGTCCTCGGACTTGCTGGAGCGACGCAGTGGTGTCAGCTGCTTTTGGGAACTTTACCTTTAACTTACCGCAGAATCAATCATAAAATGCGCATCTATTATAACTGAACCCGAGGGACTCGACTTGTTACACCCTAATCATATAAAATACCGAAGCTGTACTTTTAGTGGGAAGGAAATTCCTGCGGTTAAAACAAAAGCAAAATAATCTAGAAATTACGTTTTCGGTGATTATCGATGAAGAACAACCTGTTCTGAAAAGAAATCAGTAGAAGTGTTACTGATATGACGGAATGGTAGTTTTAGGCCTATATGTCCCTGCGTATCTCATGGTGGATTGATCGAAACTAATAGTTCTGACGTTAATATTTATTGTTCCATCATTCGATGGTAATTTGCAGAAGGTCAGTTCCTTTTATTATTAAAAAACTGATAAAAACAACAATTTATTAGTGAATTAATTGCAAATGCAATTAGATGTATCTCGGCACTTCCTATAAACTTAGACATGTACCGCTACATTTATGATTTTTTAAGAAATAAAGCTTCTTTAAAATCACCCCCTAACCCGGCCAATCTGTGTATCTTCATCTGGGCCCTCTTTTTTAGACGTTGCATTTTTAATCAGGGGATTTAATGGTCGGTAAGCGTACACCCCGTTCAATTAATCATCAGCGTGTTTCAATGTCGGCTGCCTGGCCCCGGACTGAGTTCAAGCAACTCCGCACATCGCCAGCGGCAGCGGCAGCGCGCATTCCAGACACTGAGGTGGACGGGCGGCCGGCCACACACCACGCTCTCTCCCTCTCTTACTTACTCTCTCTCTCTCTCTCTCTCTCTCTCTCTCTCTCACGCGCACACACACACACCTGTAATGCCACTGATACGAACACGCTGCAAGCTGAGCTATGGGAAGAGGACTTCAAATGAGCAAACAGAGAGGTCGTTTTTATCCGGTTCCCATAGTCTGGTTGGAAAATATTTTAATGAATAATCAAGTTATTAAACGGTTGATTTGTTAGTCCTGATTGAGTCCTGCGGTGTGTCATTTTAGGAAGTGTTTTCAAGTATATTGCTAATCCATGAACCAATTATAAGAACCCATTATATCTATATATTTGTACTTCAACCAGAGGCACATTTTTGCAATAAAAATGAAACTCTATCAAAAGTAATTTTGAACAATTTTAGAGATTAATAAGTGGCAGCCTGTTTCAGCGCGTTAGTTAACTTAGGTCGACAGGATTAAATTGATTTAAATGAACAGCCATTCTTTCCGAATGTACAAGTGTACTTTGTTTTAAATCCATCATGAATATTAACAAAATAACAGGCAAGTTTAGTGTTACATTAATTTGTGTCTTGATTTTGACAAATTTGCTGCATTGGATTTTAGCATGTTAGGGCTGTAATGAAACCTCAACCTTTTAAACCTAAACATACATGCCTTGGGAAGGCTGCAGGCGTTGGGTTTCATGAGTGCTTATGGGAAATGGGATGATATATCTAAAGTCTCTATAGCTGTTTTGTCTAGTCATAAGTTATTTGCCTCTGAATCTAAAAGAGCTTCAGGTAGATTAGGGTTACCTATCCCCTGGTCCATGGACTGGTACCAGTCTGTGGCCAGCATCCCACCAGACCATGGAACATTGTGGGTTTCTTAATTTCTAAAAATAGAATATCTATTTCAATATGTTTGTGATCACAATTGTGCCTTCTGTTCGCATATGAAAAAATGCAAATGGTTAAAGTTATGAAATTGCAGATTGATGCACTAGTACCCCAGCTGTTTTAGTGATCCATGAAATTTTTGTATAAAGTAAACCAGTCCATGCACATCTGAACCATGGGAAGCCTTACAGCAGATGCTGCTCCTATTCAACATGACATGTTCATACATGGAGGTCTTTAAAGGAAGTGGTCCTGATTCTGGGTGGTAGGACAGCTGTAATTAGGCTACAGGCTGAACCACCATAGAGTCTCATCGAACAGCTCCGTACACATCCCTTCATTTTTGGAGGGGAGGACGCTTCTTCTGTGAACACTGCAAGAGTTTAATTTTGCATATGATCAGGAGCCCACACCGTCAGAGAAGCACATTTCACAAAATTAAGAGTTTTGTGGATGGACAGTAAACCATGACTGAATGCATCGCTTGCTCAGTGCCTTTAACCTTTTTACCTTTCAAAGTAAACTTTACGCTAGTGGTGCCCCCTCACAGTGCCGAAAACACCCCAATGTTACCCTTAACATAGGTAGATCATCATTCTCCCTGGGCCCAGGAACAACATCGAAGACCAATAATCTTTGAAGACTGCCATGTGCAGCAGAAGATGGAGGATGTCTTAGCTTATGTATTTATTAGCTCAAAACATTTCAGTTAGACCTTCTGCAAACATCCCACACCTCAGAGCTTCATACAAGCAGTCAGATGCTGGCAGGAAACTTGAAATTGCAGGCTATCAACTCGTATGTTTTCCTCGGGCTGATGCTTATCTCTTTAAGAAAGTGGAAAAAGGGAAAATGACGGTTCATCTTAAAGCCCAAAACAAGCAGCTGGGAAGAGCTGGTTCATACTGTCCCACGTTTCTGATATTGCACGATGATTCTGCGCTGGGACTTCAGCCATGGAGGGCAGACCATCCAGGTTTTAACCAGCAAGTCTCACAGCACAGAAACTCCATGTCATAACAAAACTGTATTTTTAATCCCCCTTTCACACAATCACACAGCACAACTGACTGGCATCCCCACACTCCACAAAGAAAGTCTCATGTGATCAGTTCATTGGGTTCTCCAAGTCTGTGCTCTTATTAAAAACAAAGCATTTTGTTTATTACAATGATCAAATACATTTGGAAACAAGGTACAATTTACTTCGCTAACTCCACAACTCCAGTCAGGTAGGCACTAATGGTATTTTTAAAAATAAATCCTTCATGTAATATATCTTGATACTTCATGATAATCGGTAAACCCAGCATCAAAAATGTCACAGTCCATATTGTATACTGCCATGTCAGCAAGCCATAGTCCACAGGAAGGTATTTCACTATCCACTCAATACGTGTGTGTTGCCCAAAGTATCTCATCACTACGTAGCCCTGAGGTCCATAACTTCCACATGCATTTAGGGTCTGTTCTTCAATTCAGCATCAATACTGACCATATATCCCAGCATGCAATGGTTTAGTCCCCTCCCCCCAAGTCTACTCAAAAGCAAAACATGCCTCCCAATTAAGACATGCAGTGGTACGCTTTGAAAACACTGCACCATACCCTCTCCTTAACATTCCTCTGTGTACATGGAGGGCACACATGCATTGAACCCCCGCCCCCTCCCCCCCGCCACCAAAGCCCTCTGCCCTCTGACAAACCTGTTACCAAAAATAAGCCCTACCAAGACTCCACCAATAATGAATGAAAAAATATGAATGAAACACATCTGGAGTTTTTTTTTTCCAGTCAATGTTATGCAGCCCCTGTTCAGAGGCTACAGAATCTTTAAAGACCACCACGACAAAGTCATTTTACTCCGGTTTTGAATGCGGTAACTAAGCTTTTACTATATGAAATGCACAGAATGCTACAGAGTATTGCCTGGTAAGGGTGGGCTGGTCATTCACTCACCGCATTCATAACACTGAAATGACTATGTCTGTACTTTAATATTAAACACATGCATGCAGGGGTTTATAATGGCTGGGTGGAGACAGAGTGGTGATTAAGGTAGCATGTTAGCGTCATGGGGGTTAGCCGCTGGGGTGCTCTCAAAAAAACCCAGCCAGACTGAACTGTAAAGGAAAACGAATCCAGCTTTATATGCGGGTGTATCCTGCTGATAGATTTTTGTCTTTTAAAGTCTATAAATAAAGTTAAATGTATATATATATTTTTTTTTTACCAATTACATGTAAACATGTCCCTGGTTCTTCTGTGATCATTCAAATGTTCTTTGATGACATCACTTACTCATTGAGAAATCTGAACCGCCACTATTTCAATCAGACCATTCCTCATATGCATGAATACCTGGCAAGTGAGCACACTGAGTAGCTGCGTCTGTGTGGGCATATATGCATGTGTGAGTATATGCATGTGTGCGTGCGTGCATGCGTGTGTGCATGTCTCCCATCGGGAATAGTGTCCCACTGATGTAGGCTGACTGGTGGGAGTGTTGGGACGCCCTCACCTTCTGCGCTGCTTTTGAGGGACCCTTGTTCTTGCTCCCTTTGGGTCTCCCCCTCGGTCTTTTTGGGGCAGGCTCTCCGGCTGGTTCCTAGGAACAAAACAGAAAAATAAAAATCGTGGTCATTGACCACTAAGCAATTGTCCAGAATCGAACAAAACCTGCATTGAAAAAGGCTGACATAATTATGTAAAGGTGCTCTGTCGGCTTGGTACCCTACATATAAGGACCAGGAGTGTGTGTGTGTGTGTGTGTGTGTGTGTGTGTGTGTGTGTGTGTTTGACTGTAAGAAAGAGAGGGTAAGAGAGAGAGGCACCACCCCAAACAAATGTGCAAATAGACACAGCATTAAGAAACTTTTTTTATTATTTAAAACAGTGATATATACATAGAGGTAGCTAAAAAAATTACATTATAAGTCTACAGCTGGAGTCATTTTCAGTTCGGTTTTTATTCATTATTAGCGTAGTCTCATTTTTAGCTAAATTATTTCAAATAAATATACACGACAATCATGTTTGTAAACATATTTGGGCCCCAAAACACACTGATATAAACATATTTACGTTATTTGTGGTATTTCAAAATGAAGCTGAAATTAATTATTTGATACGGAGTGGGGGATCTTATCAGTAGTTTTTTTTTTTGCATATTAGTATGAATTGCAAAATGTGGATGGTCGTTAAAAAACGTGTCGTGTCGCTTATTGAAAACATGGTGATATGTCCATTTTAACCGTCAGTGCATAATAATGTCTTAATAATCTTCCAGAAATAACATAATCATAGTTACCCCAAAATATCAGCTCTGTCAGGAATGAAAAATAGATTTTCGAGTATACGCTAAGTAAAAGCGTCTGATTTGTGTTTCCTATGCAAACCAAATAGGCCTAAACGGTTTTGTAAATCTATAGAATTAACACAATTTAGTCAATGTTATGGCTGACGGGACATATTTTAACATACTTGTTTCATCTCCAAAAAATAAATAAAAAAACACACAGAGACTTGAACACTTGGAGCCAAACTATTTTTTACAGTATGTTCACATACAAATTTAACATTTTTAAGAATGATTCACAGGCGATTTATTTTACCAATGAATCATCTTATAAACTATAAACATGTGTATTATAAAAACATAAAGTAACATGCATAATACAGGATGTGGTAGATGACTAAACCATGCGAATCATCACGCTGCTTTATTGTTCAGTATATTTGTGTGATTCCAGTGCAATTAAACGTTCACATCACATCTCCGCCATCAATATTATTCATGCCTCCTGAATGATGCACAGTCTAAATCAAAATGGTTCGATAATCTAGGAGGGAGATAAATGTCTTCAGAAGTCGTTTCCCACATGGAAATGTAACTGCAGATATAGCTGCTTTGACATAGTATCAACTGCCGAAAAACTAAGAAAACAAACAATAATACTAGCCCAAATGCAATTCTTTAGCTGATGAGTAAAATTGTGGTCTATTAATTACGCTGATTAATGATTTTGCTTATTTTTCATGCAAATAAAAAACGGTGCAGAGATCGTCGCGTGTACAGTGTAACACAAGATAAATAAAATCCAGCGCATTTTCAAATCAAGACATATATTCAGTATTAAACAGCATTAAACTGCTTACACTCAAAGAAATAAAATACCCAAACATACTAGTTTCACATCCTTAGGCAGTATCGCTGAACAAAAGCAGTGGCATATATCTGAATATATTTGGCTAACTTCCTAAATAATAATTTAATCGTTTTAGTGAAACGCTCTCTTTAAACCAACATCTTCCGGATCATTAGCGATGTGTTCACATAATCATATTTCCCTCTCTAGGTAAAGGAATAAACGCTGAGCCATCAGCCTCAGTTACGGCGGAGCGACCCTGCTACCAATATTACCAAGATGCAACTGGTGACCAAATGACAATAGCACATTTTTATTAGATTGTAAAGATTTGAGGGGGAAAAAATACTGACTTGCTGCGGCTTCCGAGGTCTGCCCGGTCCTCGCTTGGGAGTCTGTGCTGTAGCGGGTTGCTCCTGGGACCCTGACGGCTCGCCGGCTTCTTCACCCCGTGTACTCATGGTGACTTGTACCAAATTGTAATCTCCTGCACCTTCAGCTCTAAAACACGGTCTGAATCGGCACACCGGACGTCCTGGTGCGGAATACGAGACGAGGGGATCTTCTCTTGTAACGCAGAAATCGGCGATTTCCACACAAAGATAAAAGAGTCGTTTGATAATCTGACCGCTTCCCAGTAAAAAAATAAAATAAAAAATAAAAATTCACGGTAGAATACGGGTGTATTACCACGATCTAATCGCTACAGTGAACTTAAAAATGCTTCTTTCTGAAGGGGTGGGGGTGGTTTTTACTTACAATAAAATACGCCAGTGATCGATTGGGATTTCTGTCTCATTGGCAAGAATGAGTGCGAGGCATTTTAAACTGAAGAGTGACAGTGCGCTGTCACACCATGCGCGGCTTTTAAAAATGATCTTACAAATCACAAGTGCTGGGTTTTAAGACTTACGGGGAAAACTGTTTTGCAGCGGTTGGTTAGGAGGAAAAAAACCAGGCATTTAAATATATCTAAACTGCCCACACGAAACCAGTCCACGCACTGAATGGGGATGTGATAAAAAACACACCTTTCCCGTGGGTGGATAACATAGGAGGGAGTTGTGAAAAATACAAGTCGGAGGAGGCACCGCGAATGAAAAAAAGGGAAAAAAAACGCTGGGGGATGGACTGATGCCAGAGAAAACATGAGAAATTCTGCGGCGCTAAGAGGAGAGACCACATTGAGACAAACTCACGTGTCCAGAGCCATTCATGCCACTGGCGGCCTTCCAGCGCGTTTAAAGAGACAGAGGGAGAGGCGCGCTTTCAGCCGCTTGTAAAAGAAATATGCTATCGTTTTCAGTCCAAGGGTAGTCTCCCCAACATAAGACGTGTTTGCTAATGAGCAATTCGAAAATAGATGGACTTCGATTCTTTAATGAATAAAATTTAGGGCAGAAGGTTGTTTTATTACTAGAGCACACAGTGAAGTAGTAAACGCTGCGAACAATTACCAGCACACTGTAAACTACCAGTGGTGTGTGTGTGTGTGTGTGTGTGTGTGTGTGTGTGTGTGCGCACATACGCAAACATACATATATTTTTCACGGTATAACCCTACAGTGAAAAGCAGATTCTATATATTGTTTGGAATTCGACTAGTTATACCAATTAGGCTACTTGTTCCCATCAAGTCTAGGCTACATCCTTCTGTTCCTTTCATATTGCTAAGTTTTAAATATAAGTCTTAAACTGCCTATTTATTTCAAATGTTTACAAACGATATAACAAACTGCACGCCGGCTAACAGAAGAAAATTTATTGTTTGGACGATTCGGCTTATTTTTAACCAGGGTATAGGCCACAGGCTGTAAAAGTCTGATATGCGCTGGTGTCAATAAAAACGTCACTTTTATCTGATGCATATCGAGCGAGTCCTCTTTCATTACTTGTACGGTACACCGATAGCAAACCATCGCAGGCTGATTTACGATTCAGTTGCTTTAAATTCTCCCGCAATTAAACTCCGCTGAAAGCGTTCGGGAATTATTCGGAATTGCATCTGTATTTTTTTTTTATCTGTTCACGCTGCAAGCTGGGGGGTACCACTTACCCCCCTTGCCCACCCCCACCGACAGCGCCAGCGACCCCCCACCCCCAAAAAGCGCGTGCTCGCGAGGCAGCCCCCAGCCGCCGCGACGCTTTGAAGTCTTCCGCCCATCGACGTGCAGCAAGATCAATTACACAAGAACAACAGTGACAATGAATAAACTCCTTTACGTGGAAGCCCTTTCCCACGATCTGACCAAGCCGGCTGAACAGGGAATGGCGAATCCTCCCTGCTCCCTCCACTCACTACAATAGTGCCAAAAATGTTTTTAAATACCTAAAAGCGGCAGGGGATTCCGCAACCTTGAATCCAGAAAACCGCTGCAGAAAACTATTTATGTAGCCTACCGCCTTGCGTTATTTATGTTTTTGTCAGTGATTAAAGTTTTTTTTCTTTTTACCTTTTGTTGCATCTTTTGGGGGTACGCTTAAATGTGATTTATAAATTGGTTTTACAAAATTTTTTTTTACTATTAAACGAAATTTTTGTCACAAACTCGCTTTATTTTAAAAAATATTTATAAAAGAACCTAAAATATTATCATGGTTTCGTTAGATCCTCGCTTTTCTGGAAAAAAAGAAAGTGGTTAATTTGTCACTGGCATCCAGTTCATTCATAAAAAAAAACAGCGCCGAGACCCCCAAGAAGGTGGATCAGAGAGGAATTTGGCTGTTTTCATGCCGAAGCCACGCCCCCACAGACAGAGCGGCGTCAGGGCTGTGAGCGAATGAAATTAATACAATCAATAGCCAACGCCGAAAATGACTGCAGGAAGTACTGAACCCGAGATCGATTACTCAAAATAGCCTTATAACAAGTTGGGGCAACTAGTCATCGCCTTCGATTCTTCACCCCCCAAAAGATTGAAGGAAAATGCTTAGTTGTTTCCCCATTCATGAATTTCTTTTTAACCCGCCTAAGAAACTATCACTGAAGTTGGTGCGTTTTGGTAATCGGTACGTTAGTATAATTATTCCTAGAAGTAGTAGAATTTATCGTGCAGTATTAAATGCAACGTACTACTTACACAATGGTTCGTAATTTTTCGTTAATTTCAAAATCCTGATTTTAAAAATAAGATTTCAAACTAAACGTTTAATTCATTTACCCTCAAACTCTTTGCATTGTGCGTTTTGGTGTCAGTTGGGGTGGGGTGGGGTACATGCATATCAAGAGACATTCTTGGGTTGAAAGAAGTTTTGAAAGGTTTCTTCTTTTGTATTGAGGAAGAGAGAGGGAGCATTTTGGGCGCAGTGGAAGAGCTGGGAGCTCCACACGGAGATCTGAGGCCAGTGGCAGGGCCTCCCTACTAACGGTTAACCATTTGTGCCCCGTGACTCTCCCTTCCCAGGGCCGGACGACCACGCCTCACCTCCTTGTGGATGGGTCGCCATGCCCGTCTCCAATGCTGGTTGCCCATCCCCCAGTCATTCCCCTCGGAATCTGTCAGTCCGCAGAGTGGGTAATATCCGCTTTTTTTGCACCCAACGACGTTTTCGTTTTGGTGCCCCCATTCCCTGCCAGGGGTTCCAGGGAGGTCAGGGGAGCCTTGGTGGGGGTGGGGATGGGGGGGCGTATTCATCATGTGACGAGGCTTTACACTCATCCCGTTTCGCCTAGAGGAAATGAATGTATTTAATATAGAAATGAAAAAAAGCTGTGAAGATGATTTCCCCCCCCCCCAACTCCACACACACACACACACACAATGGGAGGGGCCCAGAGGAAGGGGGGCGGGGCTGTGGCTGTTGACCACACACTGTAAGAGAGAGATTGTTTGGGGGCCCCGAAGGGCTGCCCCCCCCCCCTCTCATCTCCCATACCCCACTTAGCCGCTTGTGGGGTCAGGGTGACAAAATAGGTCCTAGACTTAGGAGACGGACGACCTCTGTTTGAACCTGGGGCAGGAACGTGAACATCCGTCAGCCTGGGCCACCTTGAAGAGCCCCCGAAATCATAATCCTACACATGCACGCATCCGACATTCCAAAGAGGGTCATGTGACAGTACGACTCTCCGCGCAACGGGGAAGAGGCTGTTTTAGAGCAAAACAGCGTTGTCCGTGACTAGCTACCTCTCATAAAGCACATCGGCTTCTTGCAGACTACACCTCAATGAGAAAGACCTCGATTTACAGATTTCCTGCCAGAAAACAAACAAGCAAGAAAATGCTAATCCTGGGATCACATTTAGGGGCATGTGAACAACTGGACTACTGATGGTCATCCCAAATAAGATATTGTTATGCTAGAACTGGCACTCAAGGACAGTAAAACTAGCACCCATTGTCTGTCTCACCCAAAAGTACAGCATCCTGCCACAGAGGGCGCCAACGAGGCAACATTACTCACAGGGTAGTCCCAACCTGCTGATAGTCTGATGGCATGCCGTAAGGTGGTCCAGATCCTCCAGGGAGCAGAGCCATCTCCAGTCCCACAGAGGCGGGGACTGATCGGATCTCCCCGTGTCTGCCCCGTGAGACCCTCGCCTCCGGTCCAGGCTCCCCCCTCTGTTCTGGGAATAATATATGCCTGGAACGATCCTATAGACCTGCCGCTCCCTTTTCCCAGAGGAGGATTTTGTCTACGGATCCTTTTTATATCCATGTGGTCTCCCATTAGTTTTAATTGCATTCAGCCAGCCACCCAAGTCTCTGCCCTCATGTTGTTCTAATTTACTTTAATAAAACAGCACGTTTTCTGACAGTGCAGAGGCAGCGTATAATAATCACATGGTGACCTCTGACCCCGCCGAAGGTTAAGTGTCAGGCAGAGGCCTACAGCTGCCCACCTAGCTGCCCCTCAGCCAGGCAGAGCACCAATGGAAAGACTTTTGTGTGTGACGAAGTAAGGGGGGGGCATGTATCATTTAAAATGTTAGAAGGGTACTCTTGAAAGTGCCTCCAACACAGGAGTGTTCGTCCCAGTCTGCTAAATGCAGCACTAGCTGATATGTTGTATGAAGGGATATATGTCAGTGTGCTCATAATATTCATCAAACAGGGTAATTCCTTAACGCTGCACCCTTAAAGCGAAGTGTGTAAGACTACTGTTGTCACATCTCAACAGTTTTCTTCCTGTTGGTAGAGGTTTAAGGAAGCGACCCCCTCTCCTCAGCCCCCCCCCCAAAAGGTGACTTTCACTCAGTCCTGTCCCTGGAGAGTTCCAAAGGGCCCTAGAAGGAATTCAACCACCATGCTGGGGTCAGAGGTCACACGTGAGTGAGGAAATGCCACGCTGACCCCGTGTAACCCGAGCCGTAGGGCTGTGCTCTCCAGCACGGTGTGTGAGCAGGCTTTGCTCAGCGTGCAGCCGCTCTCGCTCACGCAGAATTTTAATCGGTTTCGCTCGTCCTCTCCTACCACCGCCACGGCCCGTAAGGTTCTCATGACTACATAGGCTTTCTTGGGCTCTGGTCACGGAATTACTTGAAACAATTATAACTTGTGGGTCATTTAGCAAAGATTTTTTAAATAGCGATTATTCATTAATAGTCTATTAACCTGAAGGCCCAGACAGAACACAGAATGTTCCAGAGGAATGCTATTTATATGGTTAAAATTTCATTAAGACTTGATGGTACCTAATAATAATAACATTAGATAGAATGAACAACTCCACAGACACTATTGCCGTGCTATTTAAACTCCCAACATTGGATCTAGGACAGGGGTGGCCAATCTTATCCGCAAAGGGCCGGTGTGTATGCAGGTTTTCGCTGCAACTGCCTAATTAGATAACTAATTAGAGGACTGATTGGCTGAAAGAGTCCTGACACCTGGGTTTGAACAGCTGACCTACAGGTTATCCCAAAAGCCTGCATACACACCGGCCCTTTGCGGATAAGATTGGCCACCCCTGATGTAGGAGGTATCAGTGATGCATTAGAAGCCCCCATTACCCCAATACATGCATATATATTCTTCTGTGTGGTCTCCAAGCAGCTCTTGGTGCTACTGCAGCTCTATATGGGGTTTTAGATGTTCCTGTCATGGTGGACAAAGTAGTCCAACTAAACGACAGCATTCCCTCTCAACACAGACCACGCTCTTTTGTTCAGTCACCAGGATTTCCATTTTTGGCCAAGCAAGGG